GGGCTTTGAGCAACCTGGTCTGGTGGAAGGTGTCCCTACTCGTTGCAGGGGGGAGCGGGTTGGACTAGATGACCTTTAAAGGTCCCTTCCAGTTAAACCATGCTATGATTTACAGACCTTGTTGATGTATTTGCTTGTACGTTCAAACATTGCCCTTCAGGAAGAATCCATCTTAGTACTGGTATTTGGACAGACAGACACCTCTGCAGTTCTGTCTTTTACCCTGCTCATTCAGGCTTCTGTGTCCTCTCCCAGGCTTGGAGCACCAGCATTGCTAAGAACCCTACCTGGGTCCTTCCTTCTGTCCCTTCTTTTCAGCCAGCGCCTTCCCGCAGATGCTGCTGTAGAAGGTGATGGTGACCGCCGACCTGTTGTCTCACAGGAGCATTCAGCGTTAACAGAGGGCCGAAAGGCAAAGCACTGTTGGGTACAAGACAGTATGTTAGAGACTGCGTTGGTCTGAGGTGCTGAAGCCGTGCTGCAGGTGAGCATGTTGGCCATATGAACAGGTGGCCACTCCAGGCAGCTTTGGTTTGCCAGAATTTTGGTCTGAAGCATCACCATAACGTCATAATCGCCCGATTTCGCCTTTTAGAGGATCCTCCTTTGGCTTGCATTTTTGTAGCACTAGGGCAGCATTGTACGTATTGATGGGAAGGGTCTCTCTGCCGGTACGTTGTTTAAAAATAACATTGCTTGCAAGGATGGGCAGTTACTGCAGTTGTGACTTCAGTAACTGAGGGTGAAAAGCGCCTGAAAATAAAGTTGTAGCTAGAGTACTGAATCAGAGTCAGAGAAACTTCACATACAGACCTGGGCTTAGTCCTGCTCCCCTTCTATGTAACGAAAAGTTGGTGGTATTAAGCCATTTTGAATGTTAATTAATTACTGTAACTATGGGATCACCATACATCAATGGAGTTTCAACAAAATACTGAAGTTTAGTAAGCTTTTTCTTCCCCCAAGGCCGGTGCATGGTCTGTGCCCAATATCTCCGTTCTTTTAGAAACGCTCATAATGTTGACAAGAGACCCGTTTCAAGTACAGCAGGTGTGAGCCTTGCGAGCATCTTCTACCCTGATCTCGTTGCCCAGAGGACTGTTCCAGGAGAGAAGAGGACTACCGTGCCCTTTTCTTTTTGCAATATATAGAATTGGGAGCTGAATAGAAAGTAGTTCAGTTATATTTTCCCTATTCCAGAATTCAGGATACCCATCACCTCTGACCCATTATCATCCTTGGGATATGAAACAGATGTCCAGCCCATCATGAACAATGGCAGGCAGAGGGAAGTCTGGCTTATCTTTCCTTTAGCAACCTTAAAATGATAACTGGGGGGAAAAAAAAAGACACCTTCTGTTCAAAATTCACACACAACTTCTATTAGTCCCACAAAGCTGTCCCTCTATTTTATAAGAATTTCCCATTTGTTATTGTTATTAAAGAGCAGGAACATGGTAATTTAAATTACTCCCGGCTTTCATTTTCAATGACAAAAAAAAAGAGGGGGAGGAAGGCACTTGTTTAGATAAAAGCTTCTGAAATAGAAAAATGTATGCCTTTTATGCTGGAATAGAGCGGCAGACCTATGGAAAGAATAAGGTTCTGCGTAGCTGTTGTGATTGCACAGGAGAGGGGCTGCCAATAGCGTACGCTACTTACCGAGTCATTTAAGGAACTTTGATAACTGTCCACCTAAATGCAACGTATTTCCCTCGGGAAACAGAAAAGAGGTTTTATTGCGCTCTGTTTTTCCTTCTTTCAGTAGCTTTTGAAAATTATGTATGCATGGGTATTTTCAGTTTAATCATGTAATTTTTAAACTATTACTTAAAGCTCAAATTCAGTGTAATCAGCCCATCTGTTAGCAATGGTTATAAAATTATGTTGAAGATTAAAAATCTGATGCAGTGTCAATACGTCCTAGCATAATGAAGCTTGTTTTATGATGAATGACTAGGATATGGCTTTTGTCTACTTGAGCAGCTTTAAAATGGTAAACCCTTTGTAGACTTAATGTGTGAAATGCGAAGGCATGTATAGAACGACGACAAATTTAAAAACTCGGATCCTGTATTTGTAGATGTGGTGGCTTTGCAGGCCTTGGGAAATGCCAGCAGAGTAATTTCACATCGCAACCGAATTCACTGCATTTTTCAGTCCATGAAACACTACCCTGGCTCTGCTCTCCGCCCTGTAGAGGGTCACCCAAACAGGCACTGAGAAATGCCCGTTTGCTAAATTCAGTGCTCATTTTAGACAGGCCAGCATGACCTGGTGGGGAAATGAGCACAGCATTCCCTTACCTGAAGTGAAGGTACCGCTAAAAAGTCCTTCAGAACTTGAAGCACTGTAACCCAACCTAATGGACCCACAAGGAAGAGTTAACATTTTAAGCATTTCTGTGAAAGAGCCATATATAATCATATCTATTGGACAAGGAAGAGTTAACATTTTAAGCATTTTAATTCTAGCATTACTGTGAAAGAGCCATATATAATCATCTCTATTGGAAAACCATTCTTTATGTGGACAGTTTTTATTGCTTTAAAATGTGTCCTTGGGAGGAAAAAAAAGAAAAAGGCAGCCCGTTTTGCAAAAATAAAACTGTGTAAGCCCTTTATATAGTCTGTGTGCTAAACTTCCTGCAAAGTCTTCCTCCCCTGCAAACTCTGCCTGCAGATGAAGTGTTTTAACCTTGCCCTCTTAATTTATTCTACATTCTAATTTTCAATAAACAGATGCCGCCTCTTTTCGCGCTTGTTTCCACATTGTTCCACATTCTGCCTGTGTTGTTTCTGCATGTGTGAATATTCAATTATCTATTTCTCCATGATTCTGCAACTGATGTACTGAATGTCGGTACAGGTTTGGGGGAGGGTAACCGGGGAAGGCAAAACTTTGAGGAAAAAGAGTTACAGAAGTTTGAACTATTCTGAGACTCGGGGACATTCCCTGAAAGCTTTAGACATAAGAAGAATAGGACAAGAGGAAACGGTCTCAAGTTGCGCCAGGGGAGGTTCAGGTTGGATGTTAGGAAGAACTTCTTCACTGTAAGAGTCGTTAAGCATTGGAACGGGCTCCCCAGGGAGGTGGTGGAGTCATCGTCCCTGGAGGTGTTCAATTAGATGTGGCGCTTCGAGACATGGTTTAGTGGGTTTAGCGGGCATGGTGGCGTTGGGTATACGGTTGGACTTGACCATAATGATTCTAAGAAAATCGTAAACCACAACGAGAAATGCAAAGGTTACAAAAACACCAGTGCACAGAAGCAGAGTTGCTGCACACTGGCTGGTAACATGGAAGTATTTCTTTGGTCAGCACTTGGGTGTGCAATGCTTGATAGCGACCAATTCTGGAAATTGTGTCTTTTTTTGGGTAAGAAAGAAGCACAAAGCAGCTGATTGCCATTGTGGTTACTGCTGCCTAAGAAGAGCTGTCAACACATCTTAAGACTCAAAGGTGAAGTACACTACGTAAAGGATGAAATATTTCTCTTTAAGGGAATGGCCCAAACAAGGAGATCGCAGGACAGCTCCTCAGTACAGCTCTTAAGACCTTGTGGCCCAAAAGCCTAGTTGCAGGTATCGGTAGCTTTAATCTGTAAATCTAAGGGACTGAGTGCACAGAACCACACTGGCTTCCAAACTCGACAGTTACTAACTGCTGCTGCGTTACTCCCTCGTAAGGATACCTCTTTCCTGACGCACTAGCGAGTGCTTTCTTACCTTTGCAACCCGTGCCGAGTGACTTAATACTCTTATTATGGACAGCTTTAAGGAAAGAGACTGAGCTAAACTGCATTTTGGAGGTATGTACCAAAACCGGTAGGCTGGGTAGGGACAAAGCTTGGGTTCAGAAGTTTGTGTTTGCCAAAAATGGTACAAAATTTAGAACAGCAGAGGCGGAGCTGGAGCTCGCAGGCAGGAGCCTGCAACTGGTGCAGTTTCAGAAGCCAGGGACACTAAAGGGAAAGACGGCAGAGCAAGGACACGCTGACTGAGAAGCAGCAGCTCCCTGGGGAGCGTTTGCCGGCAAGGCTCGGGCAGAGTCGGCCTTGCTCTCCCGCTCCTCCCTGGCACAGACCCCTCCGCATCTCGGCACCAGCGTGCTCTCTGCTCTTCCATCCGCACCCCTCTCTCCCCTTACCTGGCAATATATCACTGGTTTTTGCTTGCCTGGCAAGGGCTATGTGGCATTTTTCTGACTTCAGGTGCAGCAAAGCACTCCCATCTGTCCCGTAGGTCCTGCAACAAAAGCAAAAAGGCCCAGATAGGAAAGTGTGGCCCAGAAATGAGGTGGCCATGAAAGACTTTCATCAGTGGAGCCTGATGATGAAGAGCCAGAGCAGAATCCTGACACTAATGGGAGCAGATGTGTTGTCCCGAGGCGCTGCGGTACCCTGAACAAATTTAATGCAATTGCACAGCTGTTTAGAACCGCTATTCAGCAGTACAGACAATTGGTGAGAACAACCGGAACAGTAAAAGCATCTAAAGGGCAGAACAAACATGATAAACAACTTTCTTGCCATACGCTCCTGCCTTTTGGTCCCTGAACCAAGAGGCACGTGCTGCTTTGCAGGAGGAGGCTTCTCCCTCCGCTTCTCAAACCCCGGCCTCTGTCCCAGCTCGCTGCCCCTGCTCAGCGTCCTGCCAGCCCCATCGTAATCCCTCCCCTTGCTCTCCAGAAGGAGCAGTTCAGAAATGACCTCATAGCTACAGCTGTGGTAAGCTACGAGGCCTAGGAATAAAAGGTTCAAAACTAAGTTGAGACGTACAAAATAGACTTCGCGCTATCGTCTGGAAGTGCGCAAAGGCTGAGAAATTAATTCTTCCGCCACCTGCAAAATAAGAAGCACGTACCGGTTCTGCGGCCGGCGCGACAGCTGATCACTCACCTGGTGTGGTACCTCTGGGATGAGGCTCAAAGCCCCAAGGATCTCTCCGCACACGTTTGGATTATTTTAGCTTGAAAGCAAGACACGTAATTATGTTTGTGTCCCTGCAAGCCACACGTAAGTAGAACTTCGAATACTTGCCAGGCTTGGGCAACAGTCAGGTTTTGAAAGTGTAAATGGCCTGTTAGGAGAGCTGGCTTTGCATGTTGATTTCCAGGAGATCAAAGGAATTAAAACAACAACAACAACACAAAAATCCTGATGTACAGCCTGTACAGGCCCCATGCAGGTAGAGAGCAGCACTGCCCGGCTGTAGGCTGGCTTTGCGTGCAGACCTGGTCAGCACTCGGTGTGCCAGGCAAAGGCTCTGCAGCCGCAGCTCCGCTCTATGCAACGAGAGCGAGAAAGCTCAGAAAACAAACAAAACAAAAAAAAACCCACCACCAAACACAAACCCACAAAACTTTCTAACCTGAAAATTACTGGAAAAGGAAAGGTGATGTTCTGTGAGTACGCTGCCCAGCCGGAGACGGAAACGGTGATGAAGTTCACCTCCCTGTATCACTAAGCAGACCCTTAAAAGTTAAAAGATGCATTCGATTTGGAAACGTTGCTCACTGGACAAAGTCAAACCTGTTCCTGTCCAGCAAGCGCAGGCTGTCGCTGCAGCATATTCTGCACGTGGCATTTGCATGAGCCCTAGTAGGAATTTCATCGGTCTGCTCGGATAGCACGGCAGCAGGGAAC